AGGCAGTATGACCTCTGAAACGTTGGTTAACATCGACCAGACTACACAGCGCAACAACCCAGAAGACAGAAATCTTCATACTCTGAAGACGGAGGCAGTATGACCTCTGAAACGTTGGTTAACATCGACCAGACTACACAGCGCAACAACCCAGAAGACAGTGACGACAAAAGAAGAACAAGGGAAAACAAGTGGACAAAGAAATTTTTAGAAACATTTTCAAGCCTGTCATTTCTCGGATTAAAGTGCCACTTCTCGCAACCGTGCAAAAACCTGTAACTTTCATTTATTTATTTTGGCTAGAACACCGTAAAGAAATACGAATACCAGTAATTCAGGGGCTGTCTGCAAGACAGTAATTCATTTTTACCTTCATGAAACGAAGAACATTTTCTTCAGTCATTCGGTCTATAAGGATGAAGCTACTTCTGATGCCAAGCATCGTGTCTAAAGATGTGGAAGATTAGCCTCCACAGCATGCCTAAGACCTCGACATTTGAAGGCGAGTGGCCGCTTTACAATTCATTGGAGTTTATCTCAGGAGAAAGCAATCCTAGTACATAAGTACATCGGATGGATTACTCGGATCCCAGGGTCGCGCTAGGCGTGGTGGCGAGGGTTAGCATTCCTCTGCTCTTGTCGGGAAACGATCCCCTGCCTCAAGATGCAAACAGTTGCCTTACAAGCCATCAATCGGCTTTTGAAATTTGGTTGTTGGTAAGAAAGACGGAAATATTGCTTAAGGATGTGATATATAAAATTAGTCTAATTTTAATTTATGTTTCGTATGAAATATTTAGGACATCTTCATAAGCAATATGAAAAGAAAGAACGAAGAAAGGGATAAAAATAAATGAGCGAAGAAGGGGCGTGGTCAAATTCACAAAGTCGTCTCCAAATAAGCCGATGACCCAAATCTAAAACCTGGCTTAGCCAAGATCTCGTGCAGCCGACACACAAATTCAAGGCATGCGATATGTAAATTGGCAATCTTAGAGCTGTATTTGTGTCACGTTATTAGGCATTATAGTTACTTTAAAAAGTGCCTATGTAAGTTAGACGTAACATCAAGACTACGCACTGTCTTACTGCCAGAATCAGATCGATGGCCTTTTTGATTTAGCCAGAGAATTCTCCGTGTGGGAATCCCCCCCCCCCAAAAAAAAAAAAATCACTTTTGCCCGCAAATATTCGTGCACACCCCCCCAAAAAAAAAAAAAAAAAATTCACTTCTGCGCGCAAATATTCGTGCACGTCTTCATGAAAAGTGCCTATTATTGTCCGACCTTAACCAGAATTGGAAATAATCGGCAGATTTAAATGAACTTGCGTGAAAATCCGCCTCGATTCACCCCAAATCAGTCATAATATTAAGATGCCAGTACATTAGGAGCAGATCTACTGATGCATTCGGTGACTTTAAAGTTAGCCCCTAAATTACACAGATTATATGACTAGTAGCTGCTTTTGGTGGCGTGGCCTAATAACATTTATTCCCCAGTTAAGTTGGCCATGGGAATCATGGAGATTCCCAAATCAGTCATAATATTAAGATGCCTCTTTTTTTATTCTTCTATGAATCCTATTGTTGATTAACGTTTCCACTCAGAGATGCAGCCATGCCTCCTTAGCAACCTCGCCTGACTTCCTCCGGCTGTCTCAAAGATGCAAGATTCAACTCGAGGTACATAACATCAGTCATTCGAAAACTGCAATTTAACAGTGTGGAAATCATACCAACGAAGAAGAGTTTCAAGTGGGTGCACGGATGGATATTGTGTACAGAGAGTGGAGGAGAATGTGCAGAAAACCGAACAAAACTTGCGCGTTTACGTTTTGTTTTGCAAGAAACTGTTTACAGATTATATGACTAGTAGCTGCTTTTGGTGGCGTGGCCTAATAACATTTATTCCCCAGTTAAGTTGGCCATGGGAATCATGGAGATTGCTGCTTCTGCTTGCTTAGTCATTAGTTCGAATCCAGTCCTGGGCATGCTAATCGTCCCAACTATCGTCAAGGGTTCAGAAATAGGCCGATCTAAATTCAGTCAGTAAACATTTGGGACCAATAGCTGTTGTTAATTATTCGACCTATAAGAAAACTTTATACGATTTATTAGCAGTTAACTGATGTGTGAGTTTATTTGTGATCGGAACGCAATTGATTTAGGTTTCCTTGTGACGTTATCACGTATTCCTTGACTCGTCGTGTCATGTGAACTTGGCTTACCTCGGGTTTTAGCATCCTCATATTAGCCCATCTGAAATTATTCTCACGAGGCTGAATCTAGGTTCTGACTTCACCCTGTGAAATCAATTCACTTTTGAAGTGTAAAACTCTTGTAAGTACGTTCGTGACTTGTGTTTCAATCATGGTTGAATGTTTTAAACTTAATCTATGATTAAGTAACTTGTGAATTTAAGAGTTAATTATATGTATAAGCTACTTTAACGTTTATTAAATCTAAAACTTCTTGACGATGGTGAAGAGTCAATTGAATAAAAAATTTCTTGGATATTATCCATCGTCTAGTAAATATAAAACGTAAAACGACGTTTCGGAGATGGGACTCTATCTCCGTCTTCAGGTTCCTACACAGTTGGGCCCACTAGATAGAGCTAATCCCTATCTCCGGACAAAGTAAAAAAGTGAAAGTCCCGGAATAAAAAGGCATTACCACACCATCCATCCGTGGGACGTAAAAGAATAGTATGTAGAAATCAAAATTCATAAACACGATAAAACCAAAAAACAAAAACTCACAAAAGGTGGGAATAAATACACATGAATATTAACGTTCTTTGAGGTAGGAACGGTATTTTTAAATTGTTTATATGAGCTTCGTGATTCAAAACGTTAATAAAGAGCAAATTAAAAGTTAAACTCTGTGCCTCTAATCAGTAAAAGAGAAGAATGTGACGAGGAGAAGGAAGATAATAAACAGTGATCGTAAGAAATAGAAGAGGTGGAAGGAGGAAGATAGGAATAATGAAGACAAGATAAACAAACAAAGCGGAGTGTAAGGACTCAGAGAAGGAGAGGGAGAACGAAGAAAATAAGAAGAACAAAGGGAAAGAATGAAGAGATGGGAGAGGAATAGAGAGAGAATGAGAAAAAGCTGCAAACTGACACAGGCGACTGAAAGCCGAACTACGACAATGGCTGCTCTGCGTTCAGGGACGTGTAATTGTTGGGTTCGTTCTGCCGCGTGACCTTCCGATAACTTCCGTCCATGCAGGGCTAGGACAGCAAGAAGGAGAACAGTTCGCAGTCGATCCTCAGGACAGTCTTCGGGTTTGTGGACGTTTTGGAATTACGTCTCTTGTATCGCTATCTGCATGCTTGGGATGTCAATCAATATCGACACATTCATGAAACTATTTAGATATCGACTTGAAAATACGTACCGGAACTATACATAATTTCCTTTGTATTTCAGAACCAGACATTCTGTTGAGTCGGGTAATTAGTTTCGGTCCCTGGTCGCCTTTTTGGACGGAAAAGTGGCTCAGAAATTCACTGGACAAGAGATAAATGCAATCTGTAGACATTTTTGGTGCACCCGTGAAGAGAGAATCGTGGTGAAAATAAAAACAGCAGGAGGTTCGATGAACAGGCCTCTGCTACCTACCTACACTGTTCTTAAATAATTTTAAGATTCTGTTACTACTATTGCCATTTTTCAAAATTAGATTTATTCGGTGTTTTGATGAAACAACTCCGACAGCAGTTTCTATGCACGAGTTTAACGTAATTAACTACGTAAATAACCAACTAATTAACGCTGTGACATCAGAACCCGATTGCTCAATACAACTGATACCAAAATCCACCACTGGAAAGTGCCCTGAGCCAGTTTGATCCTCACAACAAATGTAGACTAATGGGGTACTATTCTAGTTATACTTCCCAAAACTGTTTCAACGATTATTAACTCCGAATTTTACTTTGATTTTGGTTTGGTTTGGTTCTGAAAATAAGTAGCTATTTCTTTCTTAAATTTCAAGAACAGATCTACCCCTGTAACGCATATTCGAAGTGTGTTTTCTGTAAATCCGAACCGAGAAATAAGATATCGTGATCATCATGCCAGAAGGGCGTAACAACAAAATGGCTGATTTACAAGAGACTAAATTCTTACGCTTATTTGGTCTGAACAAATTTATCTTCCTGTATCTCTCTGTACAGCAGCATTAGCATTATGCCTTTCTGGCATGACATACATTCCACCATGTTGTTAGACCACATATCTCCGATTATGCAAATATGTTGATACGCCCTTGTTATTGTTTAAACGAGCTTCGTTAATCAAGCTCACAACATATGTAGGCCTACTTAAATGCTACTTAATTCAGATTTAAATTGTCTTGTAAGTAAGTTTATTCCTTATTTTCCGATAACTGTGATAGTTTTATAATTAATTAATTAATTAATATAACAAATTCGCTGGTAGTGGAATACGAAGGATCGACACCTGTGATACCATTAAGCATTAATTACCAGAATTGCGCATTTATTGTCTCCTACATGCGAGATAATACGTATCTAACCTCTTTAATGACACAATTCCTACAACAGATCCTACTAGGAGACATGTGTACTTCAGACGTTTCTCGCTTTGTGCTGTCAGATCCCAGAAAGCAAAGAAACAATGTAAAATAATTTCGAATAAAAATTTGCTTGGATATTATCCATCGTCTAGTATATATAAAACGTAAAACGACGTTTCGGAGATGGGACTCTATCTCCGTCTTCAGGTTCCTACACAGTTGGGCCCACTAGATAGAGCTAATCCCTATCTCCGGAGATAGGGATCGTTTTACGTTTTATATTTACTAGACGATGGATAATATCCAAGGAAATTTTTATTCAATTGACTCTTCACCATCGTCAAGAAGTTTTAGATTTGATACCCGGTATTTTATTTTATATAAATTGAGTGGCGATGTAGTTCTTTCGTATAAAGGCGGTTTTTCTTCTGCGTGCGACAATTCACTTACCTTTAGCTAAACGTTTCTTCCATTCTGTAAGCATGGTGTCCGGAAACAGGTATCACAAAAACTGTAGAACAAGAACGTTTAACTTGTTAAGTACTTCTAGGCATGTAGCTTTATGCTTATTAAATTCTTTTTAAATGTCTTCCCACGTCTGAAAAGTAACCGAAGTTTTAATACGATGTTTAAAGACCAAACACACTGCCTGTACACATAAACACATTTACTGCCTGATGATCGTATTACATTCAGGAAATTAAAAGTGATCTTCTTTCACTCGAAAAGTAGCATAGAGTGCAAACATAAATAATACTTGTGACAAAACCGGTGTTCTGCTTGTTTTATTAAAGAACAAAGTTTCGCGTCATGGCGGGTGTAGAGTTTTTTTAGTACGAGACGCGACTCGCGTGGTATTTGTCGGCGCACAGAACACCAATGACTTTATACAACGTTCCCTGCCTCTTTATACAAGCAGCCGGACAGCTGGACGGTAAGGTAATGGAATCCATCATGAGAGGGGGGAATGGAACAATCACGTCCACTGTTGCAGGTAATAACAGGTTTAATCTTACAGATAATAACGTTTAATCTATGATACGTTATATTGTAGTCAAATGGATCATAAAATGCGAGCTTTGAGCCGGTACTAACCGATAAAACAATTGTATAGGCAAGATATTTAATTCTGGAGGTAATCGGTTCTAGTCTTGTCCGGCATTGTTTATTTCACATGAACATCTGCCTTGGTTTTCTCAGTTGGGAGGCGAATGCTTGGATATTTATCTAATTTTTCAAATAGGCTGCATGATATCATCTCATGTGACACGATGACATCTGTAGCTGTTTAATACTCGATCTATCAGCCAGTCAACATTATTCTCATCTCAAGTTCGTAGAAACTAAAACCATCTGCAGGTGACAGAGCAGAGTTAAATGATACAACGTTCAACTGATTTATCGATTAACAATTCAATGAATCTGTAACTTTCAATTTCATTTCAGTGCATCGTACATAACCACACTTTAATTTCATTCAACACTAAATAAATATTTGAGGTTGACACAGTGTAGTTAAAATTTAAATATAATTAATAACACGCACAAAAACTAATTGAAATGCTTTCGTACAGAACTTCACTAAAGAAATAACATTTTAAATGATTTGGTTAATTCACGCACTATAGGTGTGTTTAGAGAGTAAATTGTTTTCGTTGTCTGGACTCGAAGAAGTAATATTTAGTGTGGCTCCTACTGCAGATGTTTATAATGCTCGTATGTCTTCATCCCTCATACATCTTTAGAGCGTTTATCTTAGTGCAGAGGTTCTCGTAAGGCTACCAACGGCTGCATGAGTCAACATATTATTTTTATGAATAATACAACGTGTCAGAAGTAGCCAGACTTATAAAGAATCATCTCAACAGCATATTTTTATCTGTACCTCTGAAAAATCTCAATTCCTGCATGTCCAGTTCCTAAAGCTTTTTAAGGAATATTTATTTTTATACATTCGTAAGAAAATGTTATTTAAAACTGAAGTCTGCCACATAAAATGTTACATGAGTCATCTGTTGTAATTAATTCCGTTTAAATCTCTAATAAATTCCATCAGCTTATTTTGTAGAATGTAAAACAACTTGACTGCTCAAAATTCAGTCCCATTTTTATTTCCATTTAACGGTAGAACGGAAGAATAAAATTAGCCAGGAATATGAAATTTGATTTGGAGATAATCACAAATAAATTTACGAGTCTCGTATGTAGCTTTTATTGTATGTTAACAATTAAAATCACGGCGACTACGCGATAATTTGAGGTTATGGTTGACAAATTGAGCGAATTTGGATCTGGTGGTAGTGGAAATTATGCACAGAAATTATACTAAGTTGTATAATTATAATTATTAGTTTACAGGCCTGTTTCTTCCAGCCTTGTCATATTGACTGAAATATTTTAATTAATATAATTCTTGTAATTTCTTCCCAGAATTTCCTGTTCGTAACACTGCGTTAAGTGATTACTGGTATTACACAGTGTCCTTGGTGATACACGGGCTGCAGTTTGATAACAACTAGTTACACGGTACACAAAGTATATTATTCCCCCATATCAGAAAGGGCGAACAAAGTAAGAAAACTCGTATGTTTACGTTCAGTCACTGACTTCTGGCACGACACTAGATAAATGTGACGTGATTTCTCAAGCCAAGTTCGAAGCAAGGAGATACGTACACGGCAAATTTTTCCACACGAAATCAGGAAGGTTGACTCCATTGTAGTTGTAAACACAGTTTACAGGTGAATTATTTGCTCTGTTTTACATATATATCACTAGCGTTGATGATTATTTATTACAATTATAAATTTGATGCAATATATCTAATCGCGTTACAGATATTAAAATCCGCAGATTAAGGAATTTACCATAAAAGTGTTCACAGAAAGAAGTTTCAGACACTACTAGGCCTTTTAAGCGTTCTTCATTCTCTAGTGTGAGCAAAGAACACCTTTTGGGCCCATCAATGTCTGTCTGTCTATCTATCGCGTCTTTTCTTACAAGGTAGGTAACCCGCGTTACCATGGGAACTATTGTTACTTTTATTATTATTGTTATTATCATTGCTATTTTTATTCATATTGATATTCATGCTCTGTGGTCTTCTGTTTTGGACACCCCTGGGTCAGTACCATCTCATTCACCTTGGTTGTGACTTAGCGCCGAGATAGGGTAGCTCCATGGACTTAACCCCACGTCCACCTCTCCCCTACCTTGGCCGCGAGGCCTCGATACCCCTGTTCTTACACTATCCTGGTTTAACCGTTGGTGCAAGAATGATCTAAGGTCAATGTTGGAAAACTTGTGCAACAACTGACGTCGATTTAAAGGGCTTACATAGGTCATGCATTGCATTTTCGAGTCGTTGGCCAATCATTAGAACAGCTGAAAGGGGAAGAAACAAGTAGTTTATAACTTGTTTGGGTACAATCTGATATTTTCCTGGAGAGAGTGAAGAAAAGTTATAAAGAAAACCAGCCCAGGATAGCAAACACCTGCCGAGATTTAAACCAAGTACCAACAGAATAGAATTTTAATATCTTTAAGACAAACTTTGTTGGTAGTTAGTTGATTTCGGGCTAAAATGCTGACGTTTATAACAAAGGATGGATTTCAAGGCCTTGTTAAGAGCAACAAGTTATACTTGACCTCTAAACCATCCGCACGTTTAATACTGTAACCTACATACGCCTTTTGGTGATTTGACACTGACCATGAAGTGTGGCAGAGGACAGCTCAAGTGTGTGAAGGTGACGGTTTCAAATTGTGATAATAAGTAGGCACACGCTCAGAATGCTAGTGAACTGTAATCTGAAAGTAAATGCTTTGTTTGTATTCATGTATGCAAGTTACAGCCTACTCATGAACTCGGTACAATAAGATTAGGCCTGACACTCCTACATTTTAAACGACGCTGTGGACATTATTATTTTTTTTTATAGTCGCCAGTAATATTTATTTCAGGTCATGTGTTTGACCGTTATAGGGGAAATAGTTCCTGAGATATGCTTTCATTTTTCTTTCTTTCTTTGAAAGTTGCTGTTTTCTTGGGGAACAGGAGGATTGAGACGAGGTTTTGATGTCGATGACAGGGGCCACAGTTACAACGGAGATATTAGAGAAGAACTACAGGGAGAATTTCGGCAGAGAGAAATGAATTGTAAAATAACGTAGAAAATATGAGGAGAATAATATTCAGAAAATAATTTGAAATTACAAACCGCAAGGAAAGATACATGTTAGAACACACACACAAACGGATTTATGTTCTTCATAAAGAAATCGGGGACATAAAATCAACTGTTACTGCAAATGTCGTGCGTTAGGAAGTTGAGAAAAACATACAAAATCAGATAGGAATAGACCACTTGGAAGACCTGGGCATAGATGGTAGGGTACTTTTAAATAGATCTTACAGATACTGGTGGTGAGGACATGAACTAGATTTGTTTTTTTCTCTGGACAGAGCCCAGTGGCGGGCGCTTCTGAACTCTGTAATGAACTTTTGGTTTTCATAAAGACAGGTTCTTTCATGACTAACTGAGCGACTATCAGTCCGCTAAGAAGGACTTTGTTCTATGGAATTAGTGAGTAAGGGAGAGTGTTAAAAAGAGATAAAGGCGGCAGATAGGCCACGACCGTTTCGTCCCACAACGAGTCAGATTCATTGTCCCTTTCAGTGCTATATCTATAGGAGAGAGTGACACGACTTTCTTTTGAGTTCAACAGTTTCTGTGCCAACTAATATTATCCACAATTTTACTTTTCATTTATACATACACAGGAAAGTACATTATTACACTTTCGTAAGATAAGGCTTGTCATTCACGTGTAATTACTACCATTATGCTTTAAGTACAAGTACGATAAATTAGTGTTTCAAAAGATATCTGTGTGACTACTTCACTATCTCTAATAGCAGGAAAATATAAATTCCTTTAAAGTCCTTAATATTTTTGTTTGCTACTTTAATTTTATCCCTGAAATACCTAATGGAATAGGATAACATTATCACCATAAATAAGTGTCAGAATTAATTGTTTTGAGTTAAGATCGTAGTGTGATGTGATATTAAACTTAATGCATCCTTTTTCTGAAATCTTGTACTCGTGGAAGGTTGAAAAATGTATACAAAATTTTTATCGAAAAGCCTGAAGAAAACTACTCGTAGTTGGGAAGATTATTTTAAAACGGGTCTTAAAGAAGTCGAGCATGAGAATGTGGACTGGGTTCATCTGCACCAGGAAAGGGCTCTAGTAATTACAGCAATGGAGCATCGGGTTTCATAAGGCGGAAGGGGAGGATTTCTTGACATGATGATTGTATATTAGTTCCCAAGAAGGATTCTTCGTCGTGGAATTAATTAACTGTAATTGCATTTGATGCCCATGCCAACAAGTAATACAGCGGCGTAGTGAATATTAAAAGAAATTAATGCAATTTTTATTTATCATTAATTAGGATCCTTCTAATGTAGCCCACTCTTTCTGAGTAATTGTAAGCCCGTAACAAGTTACTTCACTGAGCTATTCCGACTCATGCGAATAATTGTCCTGTGCCATCAGTATTCAAATGTTGTGTTTCCTTGATGGTACTCGCATCTGCATGATAATATAAGTTTGGCCTTCTGAATCATCACAAATATGAATGTCATACTGTCTTGTTTAAAATTCAAGTCGAAGAGTAACATCTTCGTGTAACATTTTAATAAGCATTACCTAATGAAAATAGATTATAAAACAGTAATTAATTTGAGCTTATCCTGTGAATAATATTCTTCAGATTTCACGCCCTGTCCGTATTTAGAATTAGGCCTAGTCTAAAACTTTGGATTAACTAATTAATTTTATTAATTTATGGTTCACGTAACGGCACTGGCAATAGTTCAGAATGCATGGCGTCGAATGATAGGGCGATTAGTGA